AGGTAGAATCCACCTGGTACAGCCAAAAAGGGAAAAGCTAATACTATAGTTTTTAATCTGTGTATAATAAGTGACATCCTATAATTCTTGGATCTTCACACCAGAGTTGAAAACTAAAACTATAGTATTAGTTTTTTTGTAAAACATGTATCGTGCATGTGGATTAGGAGAGAGAGAAAGAAACCAAAACAAACAGATGTGCATTACAGCTCATCTCCAAAAAGATGGTAACCGGTCTAGTCTGTCAAGAGTACATGTCTGTACTTTTTAATCTCAGACAATGGGGATAGTTATGTAATAATCCATGTAAAGCCACACTTAATATTTAAGATTATATAAAACTGGTGAGCCAATTTCAAATGACCACCCTCATGGTAGAATTCAAACTTAAATTTAATCTCTACATCCAGAGGTCATTGTGTGTTTACCTGTCATTAATAGAGGAACTGTAAACACAGGCCAGAGATGTTTTTTATAACCTATATTTAGCTTCATCCAAGCATTAGTAAAGATTCATAGCTTTTGCATAAAACTATTTCCATCTCTCTTGCAAGCTTCTAATTTGAAATGAAATAACTTAGAAATAATCACAATCGTATTTTCAGTGTACAGCACTTGGGAAAAATGTATTCCACGTTTAAAAATAAAAAAAAAATCCTCTAAATACTTAGCAAGTCTATATATTTTATTGTCTATCAGAATTATCTTTAATATATCATAGGGATCATAACTATTATAGCAGTAGACATTGGACATTATTTGAGATATTTATAGATTAGCAAACGCAAGCCAAGACATACTTTACAATTGATAAACATCCTAGTTCCCTCTAAGACATTAATGAATACTGAAAAGGTAAGATTTTATATTCTATTAATTGTTTATTCTGTTATTCAACTTATATTCTACTAATTCCTTCTCAGAATTGGTCAAATTACATAAAAATGATTCACCTTTCTGAGCTTCTGGATCCATCAGGTGATGAGTAGACGGCTACACATGGATGTTTTCTTGATCATTTCCTGAAAACTAGACAAGTACATTAAAATATCAAGTGATAATTAATTTTTAAATGTGTGTTAAGTGTTTTTATATTTGCTGAAATTTTAACCAAATATAGCAGAGAAAATTATATTAAAACATCATCTATTAACCAAGCACGGTTTAACAAAGACCATTTAAACACTATTTAGTACAAATCAAAAATAGGACAAAGGTTTCAGAGTCAGATATTTTAGAAGCTATTAGAGAAGGAAAATATATTCTTCACCAAACGCTACCTCAGCTGTACCAAAGAAAGGCATCCTCTTCAAATGGACTAGGAAGATAACGATCCTGAAATGTAAGTGATTAAAACCTTGGAAAGAAAGCTCCCCTGACCCCATGAATGCGTCATTAGCAAGTCTGCGACGTCAAACTGTCGAGCAGATGGTCTCTTGAGTGGCTTCTACGTTAAAGAGTCCAACTCGACCCAGAAAATCTATTTAAGACTGAAGAGATTAAAGTATTTCATGCCTCACAAATAGATGATCTATACAAGCTTAAATGAGTCAAACATTGGCAAAGAATGACTTGATATTTTACAGATCAATTTGGGGTCATATGATAATTACTGTGCTACCACCAATTAATATCGCCCCTCTTTGTTCCAAGGATCCCAAAACACTTTTCACAGCCGCCTTTTTCTTTACACATGCCTCAGTATGTTAGAAGGCAAATTATTTTCCCTACGGTTTACAAAGGAGGAAAACCAAAGGTTAAATCCTGTCTCTGAAGTTGCATAGCTGAAACAATTCCAAAGTGGCCACGCATTCCGCTCGCTCCCGGGTTGGAATCTCTGCCTTTCCAGAAAGCTGCCTGTGTTACAGGTGTCTGCCTGAAGGCCAGTATGCAAATGGTCAACTCCGAACATACCTACACGAGTGAGCTGAGTTTCCAGAAGGTGAAAAGTATCATCCGCAATTTTTGTTTTGCTGCTGAGCCCTGTGGAAGCGCCTGCAAGGCGGCACAGAGACACGCCGATTGCTACTGTACACGCTGGCAACCCGGTGGGGCGGGAGGGATTAGGATTCCGACAGCTGCGGCTGCCTTCTGTGCCTCTGGTTACACGGCAATGAAGCTGGATTGAAGGGGCTGAAGAGTGGCAGAAATAGACCCTGTGAGTGTCTGACAGGCAGAGCTAGAAGTAGTAGGTGAATAAAAGCCATTCCTGCAAGTGACGACTATCTGGAGGACGCGAGCCAGCCTTTAACTCGGATGCCAAGAGTTACTCTAAGACTCCATGATGGTGATGGCCTCTTAAGTAGAGGTCACATATTTTTCACGTCACCTGTCTGCATGTTTTCAGAATCTGACAACCACACCAGAACGTGCACAGCCTTGCTCTGCACCTGGGAATCAAATTACTATGATTCCTTCCTGTTCAGACTGATGGCCAGGCTGAGGGCACACAGCCATCCGTGTACCCGCACACGATGGGAGGTGTGCGTCTCAGATCACACAGAAATTTCCCAGGTCTCAGACAATGTTCTTAATAGGAGAGATACTAGAGGTAACAAAACCAACCACTATGGTAAAATTTAATGTAGGATTGTGAGTTTAGCTTCTAAGAAATACATTATATTCTACGATGTGTATACACGGTTGAATCAAGGTCATTTTAATATCCTGGAAAGAACTAGGAGCTGAGAAGCTTGATTCTAGTTACTCCTGTGATTTTAACCTATTTACTTACTATGTTTCTTGGCTTTATTATCTAAAAATAATAAAAAAAAAAGAATGTAAAAGCCACAAAACAAATATATGTGGGATGAATAATGTAGGGGGAAAAAAACATCTGGAAAGTTCAAAATCCTGAACAATGCAAACTATTACTCACAGGCAGTTAATTTGGGGGCAGAGGAGACACGCTCTCATTTTGGCTTTTTGAAAAAACAAGAATAAGGAAGCACTTGAGGAATAAAAATTATCTTCTTCAAGGATTTATTTGAAAGATCACGCAATCCTCACTGCTAGATTTCTTAAGAAGCAGAATCCCTAAATCAATCATCTTAACCAGCATGAAGACAATGATCACTTCAGTTACACTGATCCGTTTAAGAAGTATTATAGAGACTTCTGCCTCCAGCTATAAGGAGCTTACAGCAGAACTCAGCTTCTGTTACGAACCTGAAAAGCAGATTTTTAAACACACACGTGTGTGCCTCTGTGAGAAAGTACCAAAGAGCCATCAAGGCAGCCAGGAATTCCATGCATTGTGGATTCTTAGTGAAAGGAGAGAGGGGGAGAAGCCAGAGAGAGGGCTGGGAAGAATCCTAGCAAGGCTTCAGGCAGTCTCAGAACTGGGGAGATGAGAGAGCTGTGTTTGGGGCTGGGCCCTGTGGCTCACACCTGTAATCTCAGCACTTTCAGAGGTTGAGGAGGGAGGATTGTTTGAGTCCAGGAGTTGAAGACCAGCCCAGGCAACATAGTGAGACTCCATCTCTACAAAACATAAGAAAAATTAGGCAGGTGTGGTGTGTGTACCGGTAGTCCCAGCTACTCAGGAGACTGAGCTAAGAGGATCATTTAAGCCCAGGAGTTCAAGGTTGCAGTGAGCTATAATGACACCATTGCACTCTAACCTGGGCAACAGAGCAAGATTGGTTAAAAATTAAAAAAAAAAAAAAAAAAAAGTACTTGTACTTGTGTTTGGGACTGGCAAGGCAGCTAAGAATTGAGGACTCAAGATCCCAGAAAAAAGGGCCAGAGGAGTAAGCCTGACACCACTGATGTTTTTGACCGCATTTACTGATTAAGCTGTTTATAGCAAGAGATTAACTTACGAAGCATTAAGTGGCAAAAAGCAGGGACAAGGTCAAAAGGAGAGCAACACCTCAGAGAAATACCCAGGGTCTCAATGGGTACTCTAGCAATGGGGGGAAACTAGAATCCGGGGTCTCACAAACATTGCAAAGGAGACTTCAGTCTACTTGGTCCTGACCAGACTGAGGAGATCTTCCCCATGCTGCCTGTCACAATACCTTCTGGAATCCTCTCCACAGGAAGGGACAGAACATCTACAATTTTTCCTATAAAACATCAGGCCAAGTGAGATAACTCACACCTGTAATCCTAGCACTCCGGGAGGCTGAGGCAGGTGGATTGCCTGAGCTCACAAGTTTGAGACCAGCCCAAGAGCAAGGCCCCCATCTCTGAAAAAATAGCCCAGCTTTATGGCAGGTACCTGTAGTCCCAGCTACTCAGGAGGCTGAGGCTAGAAGATCAAATAAGCCCAAGAGTTTGAGGTTGCTGTAAGCTATGATACCATAGCACTCTACTAAGGGTGACAAAGTAAGACTCTGTCTCAAAAAAATAATAAATAAAACATCCAGCATTCAGTCAAAATTTATGAGACATACCAAAAAAGTCAATAGAAACAAATTCATAGGTGACTTAGATATTGAGTTATATTGACTTTAAAGTCTTGGCTTGACTTTAAAATAACTGCTCAAAAAGTCAATACTAGAGAACTGGAATCCATAAAAAAAAAAATGACTCAAATAGAAAGAACTGAAAAATAACAAACTCGTATATTGACTTCTTTATTTCATTTCACAGCAAATGTAGATAAAGCTAAAGAAAAGGGAAAAATGAAAGATAATTTTATAGAAGGAGTAGGGTGCTGGCCTCATATGCTGGAGGTGGTGGGTTCAAACCCAGCCCCGGCCAAAAACCACAAGAAAAAGAGGTAATTTTATAGAAAATGTGTATGATGGTCACCATCCTAAATTAATTGTAGGTACACCAAATTGATTTGAATAACGCAAAATTTGCTTTGCCATCAGTTATCTGAAATAGACCTATTCAATAGATCTATTTTATTATAGATAAAATAGCACCCTGGGATTTTTTTATTAGATCATAGCTGTGTACATTGATACCGTCATGGGGTACAGTGTGCTATTTTTATATACAATTTGAAATATTTTCATCAAACTGGTTAACATAGCCTTTGTGTCATTTTCTTAGTTGTTGTGTTTAGACATTTATATTCTTCCTTTAGAAAGATTCACATGTACCCTTAAAAGATGAGCCATAGACGTGATCCCACCAATCACCCAGCACCCTGGAATTTTGAGTTAGATTTAGGTTCAGGTCACAAATCTTACCTATTAGGTGGGTAAATTTGGTAATGGTAGATAATGTCTCCAGTTTCTTCCCTTATAGTGTGCCTTGGTCACAGGGTAAGAGAAAAAGATACATAATACCAAAAACTCCTCCATAAATGCCGTACTCTGGCACGTTTCCAATGATCCTAACTACCCATTTCCTCTCTGTTCCTGGGCCCATAAACCAGGTAGACAGAAATTACTTTTCTGAGCACATCTAGGTGTGGCCATATGTTCAGGTTAACGAGATAGAAAAAGTGATTTTAGTTCCCCTTAACATAAAACATTGTGCTTACCCTGGACTTTGGTTCTTTCCCCTTATAGCAGGTACAGTGCAGATGTGATAAGTCTCCCCATCTGGACCGTTCAGGAAAGACAGCACCACAGGGGACTGCTGACCCCAGGACTCTGAATGACCTGAATGTCCACAATTGCTTCTCCAGCTCCGACTGGTCAGGCCGTTGAGGAAGACAGAAGTGATGGCCTAGCTCATTCAGACCACTGTACACAAACACCTCTGTTAGAGCAGCTACTACAGTAAAAAACAAATATAAATTATCTAGCAAAGGTAACACTAATGTTTTAGCAAAACTACTGTAGTCCCACCTGCATATATGCAGAAAACTCTCAAATACAAGTAACTTTGAGAAATGGGAATAACACGAAAAAGTGAATGCTTCTCTCCTCCCATTCCCCCAAAATGTCCTGCCTCAAATAACTACAGGGAAGAGAAGCATTACGAAAAATCTGAGTTTATGCGGAAGTCACTGGTGACTCTAGAAGGACACGACTCAAGAAGATACTGGTGACAGAAGAATGAACTCCAAGGGCTGGAGAAGTGTGGCTGACAAGTAAATGTCAATATAAATCAGAGCCTAAAAAACACACCTGGGAGGGTGGCACCTGTGGCTCAAAGGAGTAAGGCGCCAGCCCCATATACTGGAGGTGGCAGGTTCAAACCCAGCCCCAGCCAAAAAAACCAAAAAAAACCCACATACCTGGGAGTCAAAGATTGTTGGAAATTTTCTATTTGCATTTTGTTTTCATTGAAGATTTGCAATTTGAAGGCACAGGGGGGAATCAGGGAAGATGGAAGTAACTAGAGATGCCAAAAAGACATAGCCTTGGGAAGGTGCCTCTGAGGGCAGAAGACGCCAGGCCCAAAGTGACTGGCTAGTACTATCCTCAGGTTGCTCTTAATTCTCGGCAACCAGCAGTTTGAGAGTGGTTCCAGGGAGAGGTCACAGCAGGAGACATCTTAAAATAATCTTGGCTGGGCCAGGCTGAACAAACGCCTCTGTCAATAGCAATCAGTCTCTGCAAGCCACTCCCAGAGCTGACCCCCTATACAAGGGCACCCAGTTCCGAGGCTCCAAATCCATTTACCCCGAATGCAGCTTCTGACAAGGGGGGGCAGGTGAAAAGCCAGACATTACAGCACAGAGGTTCCCATAGTTAATGCTCACAGATAGAAAGATGCACCCCACTTGGGTTTCCTAATTATTTGCTAAAACCACAGCAAACATCTTCAAATATACTCCAGCAGTGAGGTTCCCTCCTGCTAGCCTTTTAAGTGGAGCCTGAGGGAAAATGGGAAGCAGTGGGGAGCAGGACTAAACGGTGGTGTAAAACTGCCACGTTGGGAGAATGAGAAATGTGGGTATCTTTCTGCCAGGCCTGAAAGGCAGAGGGAATGCACTCTGACTGTGAGGGCTAATCGATACAAATCCTTTTCTTCTTTTTTAAAATGTGGTCCACAGGCAGCAAGATAATGGAAACATGAAGAGACAGAGCCTGTGAGTATGAAGAAGTAATGAAGTAGAAAACACCCCAAAAATGTATCATATCGAAAAATAAATAACTGCCAAGTTTAACATCTATATTTTTAAAAATCATGAAATAAAAATACTGCGCAAATACATTTAATTTTATTATGTCTTTATAACAAATTCATTACAAAATGTTGTTCAACAACATTTAGAGAATACATATTTCTACTGTCTATAGATAAGTATAGAGAATACGTATTTCTACTGTCTATAGATAAGTATAGAGAATACGTATTTCTACTGTCTATAGATAAGTATAGAGCATACGCATTTTCTTAATTAGGTTTTCCTCTTTCTTCCCCCTGCCCTTCTCAGTCTCCCTCTTCCCTTCCCAAACACAGATCTGGCCGTCACCAGGACGGT